TATATATATATATATATATATTTCTTTGCTTAGTAAATAAATACATTTATTTTAAATATTAAAATTTTGAATTTTTGAAGTTACTTTGTGAGGGGAGGTGGCCGTTAAATAAATATATTGGGACAAGAACAAAAAAAAGATTTTTTCATGTCTGTCCCGTTCACGATCATCTCTATAAACAAGAGGGTTTAAAACTTAGGAACAGAGGAGAATGAAAAGAGAAAAAAGTTGAGGGGAGCTTACCATATATACTCTGCAATGACCTTGTCAGTGGAGTCGGAAAGGTCGAGGTTGACGAGATCTGAGAGCACCGACATTGTCTTCTTCGAGATTCCGCGGGAATGAGTTGATTGATTCCTGCTCTGAAATTTTGGTGGTAAATGAAGAGTAGAGCTTGGGTTTTTATAGATATATAATGCCACACTTAAATAAAAAGCTTAAAGAATCTTTTTTTTTTTTCTTTTTTAGTTAAAAAAGATATTTGGAAATTTTTATAAAGAAAATGGGCAGTTTCTACCTTGTTCGTGGATCATTTTATTTTTAAGTATTTGACAACAACAAAAAAAAATAATAATTAATAAATAAATAAAATAAGAAAAAAAAAATAAGAAAATTTGATTTCAGTTTCAATGTAATATGTTAATTAATATTGAGCTAAAATATTATTAAAATGTTATGAACGGTTCATTTATGTGTTCTGTATTCAATGAGTTGAGAATCCGACCAACCCAAACTCAAATCATAAAATTTGGGTTGTGTTATATTTTTTTTGATTTGGATTGAATTGAATTTTTTAAAAATAAAAAATTTCATTCGCGGGTCGACATTTTACCCGTCCAACTCATAGGGTTACAACCCAATTTTAGTCTACAGTAATTTTTAAGTTATTAATTTTAATAAAAAAAAATATCGGCCACTAGGTTGAGTTATTAATAATTTTATTGCATAACTATTATTTTATATTGCTAACAATAAATAAACTTAAACACGTGTACACAACCAAATATAATAAAGCATTTCCTCCACTCAAATTAATTAATAATTTCTTTTAATAAAATAAAATTGGAATTTTAAAATAATAGCACAAGAATTTTTTTTAAATGTTATATTAATATTTTAATCGGTTAAAAATGTAAAAAGAATAGGATAATATATTTTAAAAGAATATCTTAAGATAATAAATTTTATTCTTATTTTGATTCTCAATTTTTAACAAATTCGATGAACTTCTAACTTTTTATTTAAATTCGAAACAAATCGAATAATATT